TGCTGTTATTGCTGCTGCTGCTATCGTCGGAGCAGCAAGCGTTCTTTGTTGAAGTCGCACCTACTTGAGCAGCAGCAGCAACAGCAGAATCATCAGATTCAGCAGCAACAAGCGATATCTTCTTGTGGTGTGCTGCGCTGCTGCTGCTGCTGCTGCTGCTGCTGCTGCAGGATACCACCGTGTCCTCGCGCTTGGCGCTACAGGGTTTAGACTGGGACTGCGTTGCTGCTGCTGATTTGCTGCTGCTGCTGCAGCAGTTCCTAGACGGGCTCAAGCGGCCCTCCAGCAGCAGCAGCAGCAGCAGCAGCAGCAAGCCCCACATAAAGCGCATGCAAATTTATATTTCTGAGTTCGGCAAAGAAAGAGTTGAAGCCGAAAAAACCAAAGGACCGGCAATCGTAAGGGTTTAGGGTTTAGGGTTTAGGGTTTAGGGTTTAGGGTTTGGGGTTTATGGTTGGGGGTTGGGGGTTTAGGGTTTAGGGTTTAGGGTTTTGGCTGTATGCACTCAGGACTGGGCAGCAGCAGAGCGACCTCGGCGCAAGCGAGCAGCAGCAGCAGCAGCAGGAGCAGCAGCAGCAGCAGAAGCAGCAGCAGAAGATGGCGGCAGCAGCAGCGAGGAGGAGCAGCAAGGCTCAGCAGAGCAGGAGAAGGCTGTTCAAGAAGTCTTAAGAAGATACCAAGTCGAACGTTCACGGTACACTTAGCTAGCCAGCTAGCTACCTAGCCATGCAGCTAGCTAGGGTTTAGGGTTTAGGGTTTAGGGTTTAGGGTTTAGGGTTTAGGGTTTAGGGTTTAGGGTCTAGGGTTTAGGGTTTAGGGTTTAGGGTTTGCTGCAGGTACTACTACGCCATTTGTGAGACGGACTCTGCGGAGACAGCCCAACTTCTGTACGACGAGTTGGATGGCTGCGAGCTTGTGAGTAAACCCTAAACCCTAAACCCTAAACCCTAAACCCTGAGGCTTGCTTCGCACAGCTCTGAGAAGGCATGTTGTTGCTGCTCTGCTGCTGCTGCTGCAGCTGCTTAGGATTTAGGGTTTAGGGTTTTGTTTGCTTTCACTGCTGCCTCTAGTACGCGATTTGTGAGAGGGGAAGCGGTGCTTAGGGTTTAGGGTTTAGGGTTTAGGGTTTAGGGTTTAGGGTTTAGGGTTTGTGGGGCAGGGGTTTGCACTGAGCGGCCTTGATGTACGAGTTGTCCCGGAAGACTTGGAGCTGCCTAAAGAGAATCTGATAGCTGAGGAGACACCTGAAGGTCTGACAGCAGCAGCAGCAGCAGCAGCAGCAGAACGACTAGAAGCAGCAGCAAAGCAAAGCAGCAGCGCCCTTAAGCACTGCAAAGTGCAACTGACTTGGGATGAAACCCCAAAAGAAAGATTCAAATTCCTAAGAAAAAAGTAACCTGCTGCTGCTGCTGCTGCTGCTGCTGCTGTTGCTGCTGCTGTTGCTGTTGCCGTTGCTGCTGCTGTTGCTGGGACCCTTCGGTGTTTCTGTGTATTGCTGCTGCTCGTGCTGCCGACAAGGCAGCGGTTGCTGCAGCTCCCCTGCTGCTGCTGCTCTCCTTGCTGCTGCTGCTACTGCTGCTGCTGCTGCTGCTGCTTTTGAGGTGTAGCTTTAAGCTGCTGCTTGTATAACAGATTCACAGCAAAGGAGTTGGGTGAACAAGACTTTGACGCCTTCCTTGCTTCTTCTGATGATTCTGAAGAAGAAGAAGAAGAAGACGAGCAGCAGCAGCAGCAGCAGCAGCAGCAGAAGGGCTCAGCAGGGCATCGCTGGAAGAAAATAACGGAGGATAACTTAGCCAGTTACAGACAAGAACTCCTCGGGGTATATTATAAACCCTAAACCCTAAACCCTAAACCCTAAACCCTCAATATTAACCCTAAACCCTCAATATTAACCCTAAACGCTCAAACAGGCGGAGCGTTTGTAAGGATTTTGTTATATTATTTGTTTTATTGTTTTATATATTTTTATTTATTTTATTATTTATTTTATTATTTATTTTTATTTGTTTCTTGTCTTTTTAATTGTAGGAGTTAGCTGAGGATTCAGGCTTCTCAGATGAAGAAGAAAATACACGCAGCAAAGCAAGCGGTACCCAAACCCTAAACCCTAAACCCTAAACCCTAAACATTAAACTCTAAACTCTAGATCGTATGGGGGCCTCTATGGATGCATGCAGTCGCATGAAGCTGCTGCAATTGCGGCAGTTGCTGCAACAGCTGCTGCATTCTGTGTTGGTGCTTCTGCTGCTGTTGCTGCTGCTGCTGCTGCTGTTGCTGCTGCTGCTGCTGCTAGGTGGTTTGAATGTCGTTTTCGAGAAGTCTTTGGAGGCCCTGGCGAGCGACAGCGATGAAGAGGCCCCTACAGACAAACTGCAGCAGCAGCAACAGAAAAAGAAGCAGCAGAAGCAGCAGAAGCAGCAGCAGAAGCAGCAACGCGGAGAAGCATTTGTAAGAGAGACTCTGCACCAGCTAAACCAAGCAAATTAGTTTAGCTTTCTGTCTCTCTCTCTCTCTCTCTCTCTCTCTATCAGTAATATATATATATATATACATTTGTTTATCTATATGTATATGTGCATCTATATGTTTATATATATTATATTGCATTATATAATATTATATTATATTATGCGTTGGGGTGTCTGCGCACCTCAGGGAGATTCAGCCGCTTCGCCGTTTGCTGCAGCGAACAAAAAGAAACGAAGTCAAAAACAAGTAAGCAGCAGCAGCAGCCGTAGCAGCAGCAGCAGCAGCAGCAGTAGCAGCAGCAGCAGCATTAGGAGCAGCAATAGCAGTAACAGCAGCAGCAGCAGTAGCAGCAGCAGCAGCAGTAGCAGTAACAGCAGCAGCAGTAACAGCAGCAGCAGCAGCAGTAGCAGCATCAGCAGCAGTAACAGCAGCAGCAGTAGCAGCAGCCGCAGCAATAACAGCAGCCGGTGTGTTGCTCTGTACATATTTATTGTTATTGATTTGAATGCATTATTTATTTGTTTATTTTATTTTATTTTATTTTTATTTTTAGTTTCCGCTCTTCCTCGAAGAAGACAAACAAACACAAAAACAAACAAACGAAGAACAGCAGCAATTGCTGCAGGAAGGTCAACACAGCGATGAGGTGAGCACCTGCCCTCTAGGGTTTAGGGTTTAGGGTTTAGGGTTTAGGGTTTTCGAGTGGAATTTGGCGTAGGACAGCAGACATCGCGAACTTCGCCGGAGTTTAGGGTTTAGGGTTTAGGGTTTTAGGGTTTAGGGTTTAGGGTTTAGGGTTTTTGTGAATAGGAAGAAAGGCACTTTGATATGCGGGAGCAGCAGCAGCAGGAAAGAAAAAGAAGAAAGCGAGCAAACAAACAAACAGACGATGATGACAGCAACCGCATGCAGCAGCAGCAACCAGGCTTCAAGGTACCCTTGCTGCTGCTGCTGTTGTTGTTGTCCCTGTTGCTGTTGCTGTTGCTGCTGCTGCTGCTGTTGTCGTTGCTGCTGCTGCTGCTGTTACTTCTGCTGCTGCTGTTACTTCTGCTGCTATACTGCTGCTGCTGCTCTTGCTGCTGCTGCTGCTGCTGTTGCTGTTGCTGTTGTTGTTGTTGCTGCTGTTGATTTGTTTTTATGTATCTTATATATCTTTTTTGTGTTTATGCAAATCGAAGAATTATTTTCTTCGGCGTTGTTTAATGCTGCTCCCTTTGCCTCAGCGTTTATATTTATTATATTTTACATTAATTTAATTTAATTAATTTAATTTAATTTATTTAATTTAATTAATTTATTTTATTTTATTTTTGTCTTCAGCTTGACTTGAATGACCCTCGCTTTTCTCGTGTGTTGGAGTCCTCTTCATTTTCTATAGATCCGACAAACCCTCTGTTTAAGGTAATTAAAATAAATATAATAAACAACCAGCAGCAGCAGCAGCAGAAGCAGCAGCAGAAGCAGCAGCAGAAGCAGCAGCACGAGCAGCAGCAGAAACAGCAGCAGCAAAAACCACTGCAGCAACAGGAGCAACACCAGCAGCAGCAACAGCTACAGCAGCAACAGCAGCAGCAGCAGCAGCAGTGGCAGGGAAAGCAGCAGACCCTGCAGTTGAAACAAAACGAGCAGCACGCAGCAGCAGCAGCAGCAGCAGCAGCACCAGTGTTTGTTTATCTGTATTGTTGTTTTTGTTTAAATATATTTTTTTATATTGTCTTGGGGCTGCATGCGTGCTGCAGAAATCAGAGACGTCGCGTTTGCTGCTGCGGGTGCGGCGGGAGCGCAGCCACAAGCACAAATTCAAGGCCTCGCAGCAGCAGCAGCAGCAGCAGCAGCAGCAGCAGCAGCAGAAAGCTGCTGCTGCTTCAGCCGCTAAGCCTGAACCTCTGCGGGGCCTTCGTCTTGTTTAGGTTAATATCTCTCTTCTTCAACTTGCATTTTAATTTTATTATTTTAATATTTCTTTGTCAAACTCTTGTTACTATTCTCCTTCATCCTGGGGGCCCCTATTAGGGTTTAAAGGGGCCCCCATTAGGGTTTAGGGTTTAGGGTTTAGGGTTTGGGGATCCCCTATTAGGGTTTACGATTTAGGGTTTAGGGTTTAGAGGGGCCCATGTTAGGGTTTAAAGGGGCCCCTATTAGGGTTTAGATTTTGAGGGCCCCCAATAGGGTTTAAGAAGCCCTCATTAGGGTTTAGGGTTTAGGGTTTAGGGTTCGAGTGACCCCATTAGGGTTTAAGGGGGCCCATAGGTATAAATAAGTGAATATGCTGTGTGCCTATATATATATATATATATATATATATATATATAGTATGTATATATAGTATATATACATATATATACATATAGATACATAAATATAGATATATATAATTATTTTTAAATATGTGTGTATCATTTCTGTTTCGCTGTGTCTCTGTTTGTCTCCGTTTGTCTTTGTTTTTTTTTGTTTTGCTGCTGTCTCTTTGTGTCTCCTTTGATATTATTGTATGTCTGTTTGTCTCTCTTCATTTCTTTTTATCTCTCTTTATTTAGTTTATTAAAAATAAACAAAGAAGGAAAAGGCAATTAACGCAGAGACAATAGAAGGG